AACAAGCGTTACAGTCGGGGAGGTAGGTGAGTCGCACATCCTCTGCAAAAAGTCTGAGTCAGCAGTGTCTGTACTGAGGTCTCACACAAGAGCCTTTTCCAAAGTCACCTAACTCTCCCAGGCTAAGCAATTTTAATAATCATACTACTTCTTCTTCCAAAAGATTCATAGTGTCTTACACAACATCAAACCTATCATAAAAAAAGCAAAAATATAACTCTGAAATGCTGTATGTCCTCTCCTAATATCTGTGCTGATATAATTTCCTTCACAGAAAATGAATCCCTTCTGCTATTCCTAATGATCATGCTCATAAGACACTTGCATCTGTACTAGGATGTTTCCATAATGAATGGCTGAATTACAGAAAAGCTTATTTTCAAGTTTTATAAAGAAGAATCAACTTCCATTACTGATGTTTTCATTGCTGGGCAGAGAGCGGACTAAAATAAGGCTCCACTGGAGCTTGAGCTGAAACATTTTTTAAGTCCATTTTAATAATTTCAAGCTTGAAATGTCTAGGCAAAAGCAGAGAAGAACTGAGATAAACCACAATGAACTAGATCACAAATGAGCTGGAACAAAGGGAAGGGGATGAGTGTGATAGATAGCCTGTTCAGTTTTAGACACTATGATGTGACCTGCGGCCCATCCATACAGTTGTTTAAGGGGGGAGAATTTCATCACCAGGTAAAAGACCCAAGGAGGATACACAGCCTTGCTCTTCCACATGCGCATAGTGCTCTTGACATTGTTTCTAGCCCAGTGTCCAATCCTGAAGATGTTTCAAATAATGCAATATAATCCTAGCTGACTGAATATGTATCAAAGCTCAAGAATTCCTGCATGCCAGCATGCTGGTGATGGTACACTACAGATGAACATCAAAGTACAGTATTAGTTATTCACCTGTGGCCTCATTCAAAGTAAGAAGGAAGTATCTGTGGCTTTTGAGGTAGACGTGATGTAGAGTTCCAGACGTCCTCACAAAATCCTCTGTCTTCAATATGGGTCAATAAGTCATTGTCGAGAATATTCAGCCACTGTGGTTTCTCTAATGAATTAGGGAAACTTCATGTAATTACATTTTAAAAGTTTATCATTGAGGTCAGTGATAGGATAGACATTTAACTTGTGGGATGGTACTGGGGAGAAAGTACATGCTGTGAACAATTTGAAAATTATTTTTTGAATTAATTATACTTAAAAAACATGCAGAGGGTACTTTGTAGAAGTTCAGAGCTAGGTTTTTGGTAGGTTTTAATTAAAATAAAAGCATAGCAGGTATGTTTTCTTGTAAGAATTTTGTATTTTAAACAGTGTTACTAGCCTCAAACATTAAAAATAGCATTAAAGCTAAAAAAGGCATAAAATTAAAACAGAAAATTACTTTTTCTTCTTCTCCTCTTCTTTCCTACACAGCCCCCACCCCCTACCCCCCCAAGCTTGGAGAAGTCTTTCTTTGGGGGGTGTGGGGTGTGTGTGTTTGATTTTTCTTTTCTTTCTTTTTTTTTCCCCCAAGAGTACATTGTTTTATAAAGAAAAGCTTGGGACTGTCATGTATCATAAGACATCAGCAGTTCAGGTTCAGAGAGAAATTACCAGTTCCCATACTGCTTGCTAGAACACTAGGCAATGGGAACGTAGGAAACAATTAGTGAGAAAGGCTGCTCTTTTAAGACACGTTCTTCAGACACCTTTTTTTCCACTTTATTCTTTCTCCCCAAAGTAAGACCCACCAGTGACGGTTTCAGCCAGGATACCACATTTTAAATTAAATGCAGCTGTCCTTCCACTGACCTCTTCTGCCAGCTCTACAGTTCAGAGCAGCCTCTGTGGGGAGGGTTGTCTAGGTAAGCGATTTCCCTAAGGTTCACTTTCAGTGCTGGCTCAAGCCCTTATTTTTCAAAGGTTTATTGTATTTCCTCCTCAAACAAGAAAAAAGAAAAATTCTTCCTCAACTACAGCAGAAAAGCCTCTGATTCCTTCCTCCTTCTCTGGACTTCAGCTGAGGACTGCAGTAAGATCCAGTGGTAGTGCAGGTTCTCAGCCCCATCTTTCTGTAGGAATGTAATGCTGGATGTGTATCTTCATCCATGGTGTGGTGAGATAGTCAGAAGAGGTGACAGCTGTGACTAGTCACATCCTTGTTCAATGCAATCTCATACCAGAAAGAGCAAACCCTGGGAATGGGAGGCATATCTCCACTTCCAAAGAAATTATCTTGACATGTTCCAGGGAATAACTGCAGTCACAACTGTGGCTACACTGTATCTCAGTGGTACATCCAGGACCAGCAGTCATCTGGTGGAAGGTGGTTGGGAAGAGGTCAGGAGTGGACTGATGAACAGGGAAGCTTTACAGTCTTCTAAAATTAGTGTCCAGCAAGATTTTGAACATTTTGAATGTTCATTTTTGGGCTGGACCATACTCATAGCAAGCTAGAGGGAATGGAAGATGGGTACCTATACTCACAACTGCAAAGGTTAAATAATGTGAAGGCTTTAGGAATGTCATAAAAAGGGAATTTGTGAAATATGAATTAACAAAGTTACAACAAGCATTTCAGCCTTTCAGTGTCATACCAGAGGCAGGGACATAAACTAAACAAGTGAAATCAAGCTTTTTTAAACCATCAGGAGGAGGACATCATGGCACGGCCAAAAAGTAGTATGACTGAGTGTGGTGGCTAACAACATAGATGGGAGAAAGAGACCCTTTTTAAGTCTAACTTAACGTTTTTCAATGAAAATAGGTATGTCCCAGTGTATGGTTTCTAATACTGGAGAAGACAGAGAGAAGAGATCCTGTAATCACTGCATAAAAGAGAACAGAAGAAAGATTCAGCATCTAATTCCTGATCCCTCTGCCTGATGTTTAAATATCCATCAGGAGGCTGTGGGAAGCTTGGGACCAGGTGGGGTCCTTGCAGTGCTTTCAACAGATGCGAGTGGCACAGCACCTGCTTACCCAGAACATGAACCCTTTCCATGGGATCAGAGCCACAAGAAAAGGTCAGGCAAGCTGGATCCATGTCTGGCAAGAGTAAGTGACCAAAGGGATGGAGAGATGGGATCCAGAAGGGTGGGAGGACAAGGGGTCTGGACCAGAAGAGGGGCTGTGATCTCTTCTCAGGGAGGGTCTGAATGCTCTTTCATGGCTTTTGTTCTGGGGTGGGGACTTCTGCTGGATGAGCTGGTGGAGAAGTGTGAGAAACCTCAGAAGCAGACTTTGGTTATCAGACTGTGTTTAACACCTGGAGAGGAGTTTCTGGGATTGCACTTCAGGGGAGGCCAATCCTTCAAAACAGTCTTTCTGTCTGGATTTCTCCCAGTTTGGTCTTTAATGTCTATCTTTTGGCTAAGTATAACTCAGCCTCCCATCTTCTCATTAACCTGCTCCCCCTCTGAGCCTATTAGCCTGGCAAATGAAAAATGTATGGAAAAGAGTTTATACACATGTTCTCGAGTAGCTTTGTGGTACATCTGAGATGTGAACTAGGTTGTGGACATCCTGAGTCCAGACTTGCTTTCAGCTCCCTGCTGCAGTGAAGATGCTGTTGGAGGCTGGGAACGGGAATGGGTGGGATACCCTGAGAGGGGTGCAGAAAGGGATGTGGTGATGATAGCTCCAGGTGAGAAGGTGCAGCTTCAAGGGTGCAGAGCTGTGCAGAGCTGATGTGGCAGGTATCTGAGGGCAACCGAGGCATGAAGAGGTGAATTTGTGCTGCGGATGCATCGGGGAGGCTAAAGTGTAAACCTGGTGCCAGCCAGCTTTTAACTGCTTCCTTTCAGGTGTAAGCAAAAGAGCTGGGTGTTTCAGCCCATGAGGTAAAGCTGATTATGGCTCTTGCCCCAGGAGCCTCAGCCATGAGGGGTGAAGCCCAGTCCCATGGATACTCTTGTTCACTCTTAGAGGCAGAGCGGGAGCCTTGGTTTTTCCAGCTCAGATTTCTTGCATTTGTCACCTGTGTGCCCTGTGGGCATTAGACAACCAGGAGTTTGCATTTGTACCAGTTCTGTGTCCTCATGCATTACCATCTCATCTGAGTTACAAATTACTCTCTAAAGAGAGCACAGTTTCCCATTAGCAACCTGCATAATACTTCAGGCTGAAGGTGCAGCACTGCCTTTACGTTAGCTGAACAGGGTCAGGAACATGGAAATCACCTGGATAAGTACGTGCATGACCACAGCTCTGGTCATTACACCTGGTTACAGCCTAGAATATAGATTTTTTTTTTAGAAAATGGGAATCTGGAGATCGGGGATGTGATAAATACAGTGTTGGTCCTACCCAGTTTCTGATCTCTCGGAGAGGATTGCACAGTGATGGGCAGATGGCTGGTGACTCCAGTGGGACACTGTGTGGGAAAGGGTATTTGCAGGGTAGGAACTGTTGGTGTTCAGTGCAGTGTCTGACCACTTGTTTGTATCAGTCAACACCAGCTGAGCACCAGTCTTTTACCAGAGAAGATGAACAAAAATTAATAGAAATTTCATTTTCAGCCATCAAATTGCTAATCCAATTAAAGTGTTACAATCAGGACAGAAGGCACAAACCCATAAACTTTTCAAATATTTTCATGCAAAAAGAATTCAGGATTCCTGCCCTGATAAAATCCCCTGCTTTGTCGCACATTAAAATTTGGTTTTATAAGAAACTAAAGATTACAATGACCTTGAAGTTGTATTTGTGGGTTTTGTAGTGGTTAGGTAGTTCTCAGAAGAGGATACTGGAAAGTAAGAGACTTGCTGATGTCATTTTTAATTCACCACCAGCACCCAAAAAAAACCAGCTGAGAGAGATGTTGGTGGCCCTATATAAGGTGCACCTCACCTCCTGCAGAGCACATCAAGAACCACAGCAAAGGTAAGCAGCCGTTGTGCCTCTCTCACTTTGCCTTGCCCACTCTCCCTGATGCTAATGCTACTCTTTCTCATCAGTGCCAGGTGCTGTAGCTGCAACCTGCTGGGACAGACGACTTTAGATCGTGAGCCATGGCCTCCCTGCAGACCATGACCAAGAACTTCTCAGGATGGGTCATCTTCTGCTGCTGTTGCTGTCTCCCTCTTCTTCTCACCAGCCCTCTGCCTCCGAAAGGGGCAGGATTGGCTTCTACTGCCCTTCATGCCTGCAGGCTCAGGAAGATCAACTTCCAGCAGCCCTACATCAGGAATCGCACCTACACCTTGGCTAAAATGGTACAGTAACCCACATATCCTTCATGGCAGGATCTGAGGACCTTCTCCTCTGCCAGTGACCTGCCTTCTCGCCTTCAGCATTCCTCTCCCTTTCTCATCCCTTTCTCCAGAAAAAAAGTGCATTTGCAGTAAGGCAGAGCTTGGACATGTGGAGTGGGTCTGTTGCCCACTGGTTGCGTAGCTGCGGGAGCTGCTGCCTCTGCTCCTCCTGCTCCCCCAGGGAAAGGCAGCTCCTGGTACAGCACAGCTCCTTCTCTCGCATGGCTGCTGCTAGACTGGGACAATTGTGAAACATGAGCTTAAATTTCTCTGTTTGCCCAGTCCATTTGGAGCTGAACCTGCCCATGACTCCAGCCATGGCCAGGCAGCTCCTCAGGCATCTTACAATGCTCTGCTTGGGCAGGTTTCTTGGCTGCTCTTACCATGAGTGGGTCCCCTCCGGTGTACAGCATCAAGTGCTGCAGCACCTCCTGGCAGTGCTGTGGGCCACCGTGAGGTCGGCCACCTGCAACATATGGTTTAGTCATCATAACCACTACGATATCTGACCTTTAAGAGGAGGCCAGGAATTCAGACTTCTGCTTATTTATTTTCCAGTGGTACTGACCTTGAATCTCACCCAATTAAGGAGAGAAACAGACACAATGTCCAAGCTTACCTACCTGTAACAGGTGTCCATTCCTTCATTTCGCCTGCACTATTGTTGATGAAAACCTTAGGGTTTATTATTAATTTTTAGGTAAGGTTCCCATCCCCACCTGACATTTCCTTTTTTCCCTTTCAGGCCAGGGTCTCGGACCAGGACACAGACAACAGGCTCATTGGGCAGCAGCTCTATCTTAACGTCAAGGTAAGTCTTACACCAGGAGGCTGCTCTTTGCATCCATCTGCAGCACTTGTTCATCTCTTTCCATGATTTAATGTGACCTCTTACTTGCATACATAGGAAAACAACCGCTGCTACATGATGAAAAGGATTGTGGAGATTGTAGTGAAAGATGTCCTCCTCACCGAGGCCAAGGATCAGTACCCGTACGTTGAGGAGGTGGCACAGTTCTTGGCTTCCCTGACCTCAGAGCTGAGCAGATGTGTGAGTAGCATTGGCTTTCTTCCCCTTCTCATCACTCTTGTCCCTACTCCTGAATCTGAGAATGCTGCAAACAGCAGCAAAAGGCCGTGATATGAAAGGAAACCTCAGATCAAAGATATCAAACTTGAGGTTGATAAAAAGGTGTGAGAAAGGAAAAAAAAAAAGCACATCATTTCATACAGCTGCCAATGTTATGTCTGGATTTTTTTTTTTTTTTTTTTTTTTAGAAATTCTCAGGACACAGAGAGCACATTGAAAAGAACCTGGAAGAAATGAAGAGCAAAATGAAAAAGGTACATTTTTTTCCCAACATTTAAAAAAAAGCAGCTCCAAACCCCAGTCATTGAGTGGGGTTAAGGCTGACCTGACTAAATAAACTCTGGAGATTATTTAGAAGGTGACGCCTGCAGGGGCATTAAAGAGGGTATTAGTGATACTTCTACTTCCAGTCCTCCTTCACTTGTCCTGTTAACTCTCTGCATGTGTTATGGTAATTTAAAATTGTCCTTCAGATATTAGGTTGCAGGTAACTGTATATGCTACACTGGATTTGAATGAGACAATATATTATGGTATAATGATTCTAACAGAACTACTTGAGAAAGTAAAAGGAGAGTAAATTCTCAATTCAGTTTCTGTGACAAGCCTAATTTCAATTTTCTGAGAAATAACGAGATAGTAAAACTTACATTCTGTTCTTTTCTAGTTGGGAGAGAATGGAAAGACTAAAGCCATTGGAGAACTGGATTTACTGTTTGACTACATAGAAAATGCCTGTACTGATGCCCCAAAGAAAGGAGGGAACAAGAAGAAAAACTGAAAGAATTGCAGATCAGGCTTGAGAAGATGTCTCCGAAAAACTCTCGCTATCACTCAAATTGATTGACTATTGCAGCTCACCCCCCACCTAGATGCAGTATATTTTTTACCTGTGCCAAAAATAGCAAGCCAGGTAGGAACAGACAGGAAGCATATTGCTGCCTTCTTCGAAATTGAAAACTCCAGGACAGCATTTGCAGCTCTGTTTCAACACAGGGCATTAATTATTTTCAAAGGCATGCTCCTGTCTTCCTCATCTCCATTGGAATAAGGCAACTGCTTCTTTATTTTATAGGCTGAGATATGACACCTGTGAATCAGCTTTGGTCAAGGTAGGCAGTCATACACAGCCAGAATGTTTTGAGCCTTTTACTTGGAAATCTCTTGCATATGTTGCCCCCTTCTGACCTTTACCTGAAAAGTTGGTATTTCAGACTAATTCAGAAATTATTTTCGTCATTCATATTTAATGGTAACTTATTTTAAAGTAATAATTATATAGTACTTTTACTTTATTTATAAAGGTTAATTGAAAAATATCCAAGGAAATGTATTTATGAAGCTGTACTAGAGGCTTTTAAATGAACTATGAAATTAAAACTGCTGTGTGGTATTTATATGCAAATGGATTGTTTTATAAATGCTTACTTTTTAATTTATTATAATAAATATTTTGGTCCTCAAATATTGCCATTTCCAGAGTTTTTCTCTTTTACTCAAACACAAGGGAGATGACACATATTGTGCCTGTGGGCCTGTTAGGCCAGTGGCTCTATTTTTGTATCCAGAAAGAATGCAAGCTTGGTCTGGTGACATGCTTCTTCAACATAAGTCTGAAATTTCAACTTATCACAGGCTAGGACTTAGCAGGAAGCCTGTGGGTCAGCCCTTCTTGTGGGGGGGTGGCGGGAAAAATAGCATCCCTCCTGAGAGTCATTGGTTTGGTTCTTGATTCTGCCTCAGAACGCTCATAGACAAGATCCCATCTTGAATAGCTGCTGGTGAAAAGTCCCAAACGGTCCCCCATGGATCAGATGAGGTGGAGACAAGCAGTCAGGCAGCAGTTGCTAACCAAAACCACAGAGTGCTGTGTTCTCACTGCCCCATAAGCACACTGAGCACAAATGGCACTCTGCAGCATCAGGGACTTGAGAGCACTTCAGAAGAGAAGTGCTTGGTGCCTACTCTCAATGCATCTCCCAGACAGAAAGAAAACCCAAAGTCACTGAAGAGCAGTGTAATCCATCATTATCAGGTCCTTCAGCAATGTCCCCTGGGTAAAGACAGAGGAGTTGCTCTGGTTCAGCCAGGGACATTGGTGGCTGGACTGAGGTTAAAGAGATGAAAATCATCCCAATAATGAGAAAGCCAGAGGAAATATATAACAGTGGCTTGTCAGCAACTGGTGAAGACTTTGAGTAAGGCTTTACCATTTCTTCATCAGGGCAACAGGCATCCTGTCCACATCTAAAAAAAAAAAAAAAAAAAAAAAAAGTATGTCCTCAAATAAAAGACTCAGAGTGGCAGTGGAGGTGAGGAGGGTGAAGTTTTGCAAACACAGCATATCAGGGACATTCATATGAAAAAATCTTGCTAAAAGGATATCTAGAAAACATCTCATGAATAAATACCATAGTAAGGCAAAAATGCTGGCAGGAAATCTAACTTGATCTACCTTGGTAGCTTCGTCATTAAATTCAAATAGAAGTTAAAGTTAGCCCCAAAATAGTTAGTCTCAACATGTCTTACATCAGCTGTTGAAGTTAGATGGCATTGAATTTGGATTAAACTATCCCATGTTGCTCCTGAATCAGAGATAAAAGCGTCCATCCATACCTAATTTGAACAAGGTTTATGTGAACTGAAATTATTACACTTTCTTGTGGGAACTCACATACTAGACTGGCATATGATCCCTCTGGGTGATGGGTGCCTGTTACCTGTCAAAACTAGATGCAAACAACATGGTTTACTTAGCTCCACACTCTCATTTGCATCTCACAACATACGAATTACATGCCTGTTCACTCAAGGCAGAAGTGATTTGGTAGCACATTACAGTGTTTAACCTTTTGCTATATTTATTTTCTTTCTTGTGGGATAAGCAATGATGTTGTCAAGAGTTGTTGGCCAACATCTTTGCTCTTATCACTCGAACTTGCGACAGCTGTCAGCAAAGGCAGGTGAGTTGTTAGGCACCTAATGGGGAGTTAATCTCACTGACCTTTGACAGACACAGCCTATCCCCAAGCTACATGAGGTTCCCTTTACAGTCAATGAAGGATAATAGGGATTATCCAGGTGTCATTCATCTCATCTACATTAGAGGTTTATAAAGATTGTGCCTTTGGACAGAGTAACATGGCTTTGCTCTAAAAGTACCCATTTTCTTCCTTGATTATAAATACAGACTAGACCATGAACCACACATGCTGTTCCTCACTGACATCATCTCTTCACAAATGGATAATTATTTCCTTCTTCTACTTCCTTTAGGCCTCTTCCACATTGACCTTGTTGAGTTGTCCTACCCAGAAATGTCAAATCAATTTCTCAAGCATTCCACACTGGGCCTAAGCCCAGATGAAACCCCATTTGTCCATAAAAGTGTAAAAAAGAAGTCAACTCTCTATTAACTTCTCCAACTCTGAAAATCACCAGCTGGAAGACTCTACCATGGAAACCTCATGACCTGGAGCCCTGGAAATGCCACACAGCAAATTTTGCAGAATTTCCTTCATAGGTTTACTTGCAGGGCACGTGTGGCTTGTGGGTGCGTGAAGGATGGCGGGTGATGGTCAATTTTCAACAGACAAAGGAAGTAGAAGTCAGAGGAGGTTTCTCTTACAACCAGGGGAAATGTCTGGGACAAACAATTACTGACCAAAAGAAAATAAAGATGTAGTTTCAGTCAGGCAAGCCGGGTTTCAATTTAGTCAATAGTTACAGCTCAAAACAGGAAAATCATGCTGATTGTTTAGTTCTGACATTGTCTAAATAAAATATTTCAGGTTTATGCTTCAAAATAGTATTTTGGTTTAGAATTTTATGTACATTTTCTTTCAAAAGTTGAAAAGAGGTTTGAAAATAAAATGAGCTGTTTCATTTTGAGTTGGACAAGTGCTTTGGGCTGACCCAAAATTATTTTTTTTGTTTAATTTTTTGGTTGGGTCAACAAAGAGAAACTCTGTTGTTCACACAATTCTAATTTCCGTTGCCCTATTTTCCTTTCCTCGCTCTGCCTCCAAATCATGGACTATTTGTAATTCCCAGAGGTCCTCAACCTAGTCCTTTTAGGGAAGGCACCTGCTCCACATCCCTCATTGAGGACACCTCCATCGTAGAGGCTGGAGGACCTCTTCCCAAGCGAAAACTGACAGAGCTGCCTAGTGACAAATTTGTGTTTCATTGGCTCTTCCTCCCCTTCGCTTACATTATGTGACCAGAACAGGCACTTTTTTTGCTACGTAGATAATTATAAAACATTTAAACTACCTCTGAAACTTCATATCGCGAAGACAGAGGAACCCAAAGCATGAATAGAAGTTTGAATAAGTAATGGTGACAGTTTAAGAAACGTCTCTTAAACACATTGCATGGAGTGTTACTTGGGTTTGAGATTTACATATTCAATGTCTAAATATGTACTCCTTAAATGACCTAGAATAATAGAGGGTTGATATTTCCAATTTGCTGCTGGAAGTATATTCTAGACAATGCAAAGAGCTGAAGCTTATCCTGAAGGTAAACCAGCGGCATGTGATTATGTAAACCTGTGCTTTAAAGCGCAATTAGCTAACCAATTAGCTGCTTTGAAGAAGGTATGGGCTGCACTGAACAACAGTAAATGCCTGATAACCTTTTCAGTCACAGCTAGTACAATGGATGCTAGTAAAATGGCTGTAATCTGGAGCAGAACTGGCCTGCTAATGTGAAGCAGGACTGGCAGAGACATAACAGTCAATCTCAGGCTTGTGAATGATGCTGCCAGGAAGAAGGTAATGACCATGGCAAGAAGAAAAACCCACAAGGCAGTCCTGTGGGACCCAGAGTATTTGTGGCAGTCCACTACCCAATGACAAGTTACATAAACCAACATATTTAGGATGGAAAGTAATGCAACCTCTTAGGGGATCCTGACCAGGATTCTATGCCGTTCAAGAATTTGTTAGAGCAAAGTCTTAGTTGGGTGACTTAAGTTACAAAATACAAACTATGCTAAGGCTGATGGCATTTCTGGGGCTACACATGCTTCTTAACACATACCCGTTTTAACAACTCTTTCTTGGTTAACACGCAGTTGCAGACCTTATCGGAGGAATCATATGAATTTCACCACTAGCAAAAGTGTTAAACAACTGTGTAAGTTAAAAGATTTCTTCTGAAGTCTAGGAAATCACTCTGTTTAACCGTTAAATTCCAAATCCCTGGCCAAATTCACAGATATCAATTGCTATAATTTACTCTCGAATACACTGCTGAATGGTTTAGAAAAGAAGATATTCCTACATCTTTCTTCCTCTAAGGAGAAATTAAAATATTATTTTGAGAAGAACTGTTCATTTATCTTCAGCAAATTAACTCATGAGACCCAAATGTAAACATTTTTTTAATATGAAGGATTAAGTCACAGCATTAAATATTTCCAAGATCAGGCCATTTTTCCTCTCTAGGATTGAATAAAGAGAAGGGGAAAATCTTCTACTCTGAAAACAGTTTCTGTTTTGCTCAGGGAAACATGAATTGAATTATTTTGAAAAAAAAAAAAAAAGACTGAAAAATGTGTCTTCGACTAGCTGACTTGAAACTGTGGTATGGTCGTTTCTGCAAGAACCAGTAAAGTTCTTCAATGGAAATTGTAGCTCTAGTTTCAAGTGACTGAATGCAAAATGATATTATTTTCCAAAACCTGCAAAATTGCACTGATTTAAAGTATATTTTGTCCTATAGTTTTCCAAAAGAAGGTCACTTGCAACTCCTACAGCACAGGAGTGGTGATGA